AACCTTTGCTGACACATAGTGGTCATCCAGAGTTTTAGTACTAGATCCGGTAACTCTAGCAGTCAAGGGAAGCTGGCGTACCAAACTCTGCCTGTGAGTTTTCCCATCAGCAGACTTGGGTGTTGAGTCTCCAAAGGAACTGCACAATGGGAGCAAAATTTTGATGCCCTTTCCTTCACAATATATCATGTCTTTGCAGGAAGATATGTTAAAATATGTTATTCCTCTTTTTTGCATGTGTATTCAGGCTACACTTTTGCAAAAATTGTTGCTCAGTGTGTTTTAAGTGACAGATGAACTTACCTTCATAATATATCATAAAATATGTTAGTTTTATTCGTATACTACTTTTATATTAAATTGCAGGTCACCTATGCTGAATGCAGTTAGATCTGACCAAGAGTAAATAATGTCAAGGAGATTTATAGTGTAAGAATTTAAAGAAAAAACATTAACAAGAAAACTGGATGCTAATCTATGCATATTTGCAGATAAGGTTTTCATTGTTCGATTTCTGAACTTTCACTGAGAATGTGCTCCTTTGGTTGGCCTCTTAGATTATTTCAACATTCTTTCTGTCATTTTTCTTTCGAAAGTAAAACCAGGAAAGACAGAAAGCTGGAATAACACCCATCTATTACACCATACTGCAGTTATGAATCCTTCCAAAGAACATTGATATTTCTTCTCGTACAATCTAATGCTTAGCAAACTGTTACTAATATACTGTAATTCAGGACACAAGATATAATAAGCTTTTGCAAAAAAAAAAATAGTAGGAAGAAAAATACCTTCATCAGTATATATGGATGATGGAAAACTAAGGGCAATAAATTATTGGGATGCAGTTCAGATGTAATATAAGAAGATACGTCTGTTCCCAGACATACGGCCAGCTTCTCAAAGAAGAGATTGCTTTCAAGCTGCCTGGAATTTATTGTTTCATGTGTTGATAGAAAAAAAGGAGAAATAGAGACTTGGAAATCATCCACACATGAATGCCCAGAACTTATACTCTCTGTTTATAAAAATGCAATCAGAGGCATCACTCACCACACTTGGGGTATGTGGAGATCAGCAGGTCATCTGGATGTGCTTGGAATGCCTCCACTTCGTCATAGATTTCCGCGAAATACTTTATCAGGGGGACCCCCTTAACAGAGATCAATGGAGGGCGTGCCACTTCTTGGTCGGGCTTCATCCTGGCTGAGAAACGATGAAAGGGGAGGATGGCGTTTTGAGGAAACGGAACTCCCTTCACCCAGAGTCAAGAGGGTTGCTGCCCAACCCAGCAGCTATCCGGGATTCAGAGCCTGCAGGAGTGACAGCTCATAGTAGCACCAGCAAACATTTGGGAACATCTGACATCTAGAGATAGTCTTATCACCCAAGACATGGGACTGAACTGTCAGCTGGAGGAGATGGATAGTAAGGAAGAAATGAAGAAGGAACAGAAAAATGGAAGATGCCTCTAATCTCATTGTCCAACTTTGCTCCATTTTCAGATGTTTTACTAAGAAGCTGCTAGTTTGGCCTCTATTTTTCACTCCATGGCAGACGTGAAAAAAATTGCTCAAGGGATAATCAAAGCAACTTTACTTTTTAAATGCTTGGTCCCTCCTTCAGAGAAAACAACAGTACCCAACAATTTCTACCCTCAGATATTTTGGGGTCTTAAGACATCCCCTTCCCAGAGAACCCACAAGACCTGGCTCACAACCTCTGTTTCATATGACCCATATTCCTCCTTCATTGTGAAGAATGCAGCAAAACAGGAAGCTTCTCAGCTGTCTGGAAGTATTTACCTTGGCTCGGATGTATCTGGCTGGCCTGCTGGCGGGTTCTGGCTTGGGAACTGGAGCAGAGGCAGAGCCGGTGCGTTAGAATAAGTGGAGCAGCAGAGAATCTTTGGCTTGGAATGGGAGGAACCTAGAGTATTTAAGAGGAATTGAATCCAGCCCCTCCTGATTCAGCTACAGAGGGAGGGCCTTGCCTTTTGAAACACATTTTGTAATGCTTGGGCTGGCCAGAACTCAATCTCTTTCTTTAAAAAAAAAAAAAAAGTTGCTGGCATTCAAACTTTTCTGAACAACAGTTCTTTTTCCCTCAAACATTTGTCATTAATATCAGCTTTGTTTCTAATGCTTTAAGTTATAAGCCCAGCTCAGTCTTCTAAACCCCTCTCTTTCCTTTTGCCTAGGAAGAAAACATTCCTCCTGCAGTTCTGTGTTCAAGTCCTGTTCTCTGGGACCTTGATTAATAAAGCAATTTGTTTAAGTAACTTGCACAGAACCTGAATGTCATCATTATGATTTCGTAGCTTTGGACTTGCAACTTTGCATAGAAAAAGCACAGCACGTGCTCAGCAGCTCAAGCACTGCATATTACCACATTGGAGGGCAGAGATCTAGCACTAAAATGGAACAGTTTCTTTGCTGAATTTGGACTCAGATAAAGATTTGGTTCTTGGTCCTGTATATAGTTTATTTCCCTTCATAATTTTTCTATATTTCAAAGAAAGGACTCAGAGAAGTGAAGGCAGGTACTTGGACTTGATCCTGTTGGGCATTGCCAGACACTCAAAGACAAGTCAATCTGAGCAAAACATTAACTTTTGTCTTTCTTTAATAGATATATTGAATAGACCTGTTCAACTTGTATATTAATGAACAACTAGGTGTTCCAAGAAGACTCATAGGGACTTGTGTACTCCTGAGTGGAAAATCATCCTGGAAATTAATCTGTTTAAAATGTCTTAAGAGGCATTTGACAGTACAACCAATTCACTAGAGAGATTGTCCGGTCGTCTTCATTTAAATGTGTTCAGGTAGAGGTTTCAGAGCCATCTGCAAGGCATGCTTTAATTTGGTACTAGGTGGCGGTAGGGTGGACTTGAGGGCTGAATGGTCTTTCTCAACTCTTTGCTTTGAGTTGCTTTGCTTTGAGTTGTCCCCAAGGAACAAGTGCCCTGGGGGAATCAGGCATCTTTTCAATCAAGTCAGACTTGGCGGGTTATCATTACATATAAATTACATACAAAAGGAGTATGGATTAAGGAACATATAAGCCCTGAACCCTTCTGTTCCCCATCAGTTGCTCAGACACAGAATTTTACACGCTGTGGAACCTCTACACAACAGACGATACATGCAATGGAACATTTCCATAGTTATTTGTATCATTTGTTTAGGGACATGATTATGTAAATGATGGAAGTGATGTCATTTGCATCCATTTATATCACATGTGTAATGATGTCATCATGCAAATGGTATAAATCACCATGATGATGAAATTTGTGATAAGTGCATAATGATGTCATCACTCACATAACACAAAGTACCACAAGGATGTACCATCCAGTTTAACAACCAAGAATCACAGATGTCCCCTTCCTGCCCACTGGTTTGTTAAACTGAAATTTCATTCTTCTAAAAAAGTAAGAACACACTAGGATTGGAAGGCATTGTTGTTATGAGCACTTCAAAATCCTCTTGAGTGGTGGCACAATTCTGTGGCACGTGCTCATATTTGGCTTAACAATCCCAGATTACCCACCTGGAGCAAAGATGGGTAAACAATCTTGTCATTTGCCAGAGCTAACTGGTAGGAAGGAGAAAAATATTTCCAAATTGCTGAAGGAGACAGAAAGGTCTGAAAAGTCTTTGCCTTGACCAGGCTGTAGCTCTGCATTCTGGCTGTAATGAGTTTCTTCCAGGAATTTCTCCCCAAACTAGAAGCAAGGTGGCCTTTGGTTATATATGAATGTATTTATTATACTTTAAGTTTGACATTGATCAAAAAAAGGGGGAGGGGAAAAAACCTCACACAAACCTTCTACCCCTGGCCTTCTGAAGCCTTTGAAAGACCCAGGTGAGTTATCTTCCATCTAGCAGGATGATATGAGGGCTGTTGATGGTACCTCTTCTCCAGAGCTCAGCAGCCCTACCAGGTCGGACTCCTGTTTCTCACAAAGGCCAGCAAAGTGTGGGGGGAGCCCACAAATGGGAAGCAAGAGTGAGACATTCTCCCACTATACTGTACCATATGTAACGTCTCCTAGTATTACCTGATACTGGAGGTAATTTCATTTATTAGATCTACATACCCCTTTCCTTCAGGAACTCAAAGTGGCACACCTCGTGCTTCCTCCTCTCATTTTCCCCCATAACAACAGCCCTGTGAGAGAGGTGGGGAGACTCACTCATGAACTCTTGGGAGAACTCCTGACCTATATAATCCCTTTCACAAGGTAATTTGGGTCTCCCCTTGCAGATTGAAGAGTAAAGATTTTTTAATAAAATCTTTTTTTCCCTCTCCTTGAAGTCTGTAGATGGTTTTAAAATCTTCCAAATCAGGATTAACTAGGTAGAAATTCTTTTACGATCCAAATTCTCCCGTTTTATTGCTAAGCATGTGGCAGGAAGCGAGAGAGTAATTAAGGACACTTCCCATCCCAATTAGCAACTTTTATCCTTTGAGTGCTATACCGTGTAAGGTTTTTTTCTTTTTCCCCAGCTTGTTATAGAACCCAAAATGGAATTTGCCTTTTCCTCTTATGTCAGGCTATTCATCCATCTACCTGCTGTAACACCAAGATGCTTTTTCTGGTCTCACCACTAGATTGAACCTCATCTGTGTATATGTAAATTTAAGATAGTTTGCTTCAGTGGGTGTCACTTTGTAGTTCCTAACAATCAACCCTATTTCCCGTCTGTTTGCTTATCGTCTCAATTCAGAGAGATCCAAATGGAAAGAATAGAGAATTTCTTTCTTTCTTTCTTTCTTTCTTTCTTTCTTTCTTTCTTTCTTTCTTTCTTT